GTTCTTCAAGCTGCCACTGTTGCATGTTTTCTTGCAACTGCTATTGTCTCTCTTCTTGTTTCTTTTGCTGCTCTTGTATTGCTGCCATCAAGTCTGCTAAGCTGCAGTTTGATTTTCCGCCTCTCGTTCCCATTTTTTTAGTTCCACTTCTGGCACCAATTTGTTACGTCTCTGTTCGTTAGTTAATTTTCCGTAAATTCGTTCCAACGAAACTTTAGCGACACAAGTCCTTTCTTAAATAAAACTGGTTTATTCTTTCCGAATACAACTTTACCGATACACTTAATCTCAACAGTCGCTCTATAACAAACGCCAGAACGCTCGTGCTCGACAATACTCAATTACACTCTACTCTCTGACTGCAGTTCAATTACTCGTTACCTACACATTGTCCCGTCACGTTGTGACCATCTTATATATATACCAGACTACCCCCCAATCTAGTAGTCTCCCGAAGGTTCGAGACGGACGTGGCGTGATACTAGTCACATGGCCTCGCTGACGCAACAATTCTTTTTATTTTATCAAATTCGAAATGGCAGAATTTATGTTCACAGATTTCTCATTTTGATACTTACTTAAATACTATAGTTCATAATGAAAAGTAACTGAATAAATAGATTAAACCAAAGCTTATTAATATATTTTTTTGATAAACAAGTGTACCCTAATTTACAATTAATGAAGAAAGGACGGGTGAAATGGACGATCTTACTCAAACACGTTATTCTTGTAACACGCTAATTCATGAGATCAATATTGACAAGAGTGAATAAATTGTTCAATAATTAATCAAAGAATCATAGTTATGAACGAAACTTTCTGAGATATTATAGAGAAAGACACTTTAACCAAGAGTTATCAAAATATCATATCTTTAAAGAAAGAACAAACAAAATGTGTGAAATAACTATGACAACAATAAAAAAAGTTCTTCAATTTATAAATGAATTAATTATAATCGATTTAATTAAATAATTATCGACAAGATGAGACATATATTTTATGAGTCATGGTGGCCTAGCAATGCGTCCTAATAGTCCTTTTAGGACAGGAAATGTAATAATTTATTACTGAAAATATTTAATCAGTTGATTAAGTTGTAAATATTGTATTGTCCTTATAGGATTAATTAAATGATAAGGAAATGTAATGTCTTTTTTAGGGCTTGATTTTATTGTAAATGTATTAATAAATAAGGCCCCCCAGTGGCACAGCGGTATGTCTGTGGACTTACAACGCTAGAATCCGGGTTTCGATACCCGTGGTGGGCAGAGCACAGATAGCCCATTGTGTAGCTTTGTGCTTAATTACAAACAAACAAACAATAATAAATAAGTTTTAATAATTTAATACTTTTAATAATAAGTTTTAATTATTGTACCGTCCTTTTTAGGACGAATTAATGATTAATGAATTAGACTTAAGCGTCCTTTTCTATGACTACTAAGTTATAATTGAATTAGAGTGAAGAGTCCGTTTAAGGATGATTTAATTAATTATTTATCGACATAATGAGACATGTATGATTAATGTCCTTTTTTTATGACGATTTAAATAACTAATGATTTAATTAACTATCGAATTAGTGATTAATTATATTTATGTTGAGACATGCATTTTATGAGTCATGGCTGCCTAGAAACATGTTCCCAACTTTGTGGTACTATTATCTAATCATCATTATCGCCACTGATATGGAACTATAATTTCAGCCCTCCATAAGTTAGTTTGCGGCCTTTGGTGACACTTTGTTGAACTATAACATCATGGCGGCCTAAGAACGCATCCTTAACGAAATCTCCCCTGTGTGTCTGAAGTGAGGGCTAACCAATAACGTTTTTCATTTTCCACAGAAATATTCACTTCATTTTAAGTATTATTTGATCAAATGAGTTTGTTTCGAAACATTATCTAACAGAAAGATATCAGTCTTTTATTCCCATCCCAATACAGTAACACACACACATATGTATACCATGTTGAATAACTATACCCTTTTTCTTTAAAGGTGGGTACACTTTCTTCGAGACGTCGTACCGGAACTCAGGCAACCAAATGGATCCATATTCTCCGTCCTTTTCTTCAGCATTTCCTGTGGATACAAGATCTCAATTCCAAAACTATGGATTCACTGCCCTGCTGCTTAGCCAGAACATAAGTCAAACTGACCCAAACGGTTACTGTGTCAGCTTCTTTTATGCTATCAATGGGTTGAGTGCACACAAGTTAAAAGTAATTTTGATGGACGGAGAAACTTCGGAAAACCAGACACTCTGGGAAAGTAATGACGGGCTCGAGGGTAGTTGGAGGAAGGGCGAAGTCGCCTACACATATGGAAGTATCCATAAAGTAAGGACTGTGGCCTAGAATGTTCAATTTCCAAAGCAATGCGGTATTACCACAGTGACACAATATACATTATGCATACATTTTAATATACATTATTCTTAAAAAATCAATCATTACTTAAAATACAGTATGGGAAAACAACTAAATTGTCAATTCAAAAATAATTTATCAGTAATAAAACATAGAAATGTCATACTAAACTACTCTTAAAAATTATAGGATAACAAGGTTTGTTTAAATTTGCATATTTTTAGGTTACCGTTATCTTTTTCAAATTTAGCATGCTTATTGTAGAGGATTACACTAATCCTACCTAGTGTCTGCAAGTTTGTGCACTAATGATTCCTTATGTAATAAGCCTTTTTTTAGAAATGTCCCAAATTCTGCAAAGCAAAAGGCTGATTTTGATTGATTACAAAAGATGTTTACTGTTGATATCTGGATTTTTTGCTGGTATTGACTTTTGCGAAGAGTGTGCAAGCTGTTAGAAGCCAACTGAAACTAAAATTTACAGAGCCATCACACTTCTCCAAGAGGGCCACACCCAGACTGAGGTAGCACAAGTCATGGGAAAGTCATTAGATTGTGGTGCAGATACCAAGCCACAAAAGAATACACCAAGGCGCCAGTCCATGGTCGCAGAAGGGTTACAGGTGCAGTAGACAAGCGATATCTGCAGAATTTAGCCCTTAGAAACTGCTCCAGCACAAGTATCAATAAGCCACAAGAATATATGTATTGTACTAAGCGGTCAGGAACAGGCTCCCTGAAATTGGCTCAGGTCCAGGATACCAGATAGAGCCAACGTACTAACCCCAAGTTATCAAATAGCCCCGCTGTCATTTGTCCAAGAACATATCACCTTGATCCTTCAGCAGTGTTCCCCTGTACTGTTCACAGGATGATAGCAGATTCTATGTATTCTCAAGTGATTAACATGTGAGGGCCTGGAGATGTAAAAAAGAGCAATATTTGGTCTGTAACGTTGTCCACCATGATCCCTTTGGGGATGATTAACTCATGGTTTATGTGACATCTGCATGCAGACCTGTACGTAGTGAATGGAGAATCTCTGACAGCATGACGTTACATGAATGAGATCCTCCTACCCATTGTTCACCATTTTTGTGATACTGTTGGAGATATGTTCGTATATCAGCAAAATAATACCCGTCCTCACACCACCAAGATCATGTAATAATTTTTTCAGGATGAAGAAATATAGGCTGGAAGATCTGATAAGTTATCGGACCAAAGTCCGATTGAACATCTGTGGGTCTTGCTACGGACAGCAGTTAGAAACGTATAATTTGCTCGTATGACTTTCCAGGAGCTCAGGTCTAATCTCATCCAGGAGAGGACTGTGCTGCCCCATCAAGTCATCGGAAATGTCATCAGCAGTATGGGTAACAGGTGTAGAGAAGTCATAAACAACAGAGCAGGACCTGCCAGCTACCCAAGACTCATTTTGTTCATCTTAATAAGTTTCTTTTAAATACTTGTGCGGCCAAATATTGGCAATTTTTGCTTAGTTTTCTTTTTGCTTATTTGAAAATGAATTTTACGACTTGCTTAATACTGTTAATCTTTAGTATTTGTAAGCTTTATCAAAATTGAACATCTCTCCGTATTTTGTTTTTTTTTTTTTTTTTGCTTCAAAGCTTGAAAAAAAAATCATATCAGAACCTTATTATCCTTTTATTTTTGTGAGAAGTGTATATGCATGTTATAAGTGTTCAAAATTAGACAAGTCTTCTTTGATAGATTGTTTAGGCAGATTATTCACGATGAAACTTAGTTGATTGGACTGGAACTGTCTGTTGTAGAAATTCGTGTGTAGAGTCTTTCTCAATACTTTCTTTACACTGACACAAATATATATATATACAGTATATACTGTATATATATATATATATATATATATCTGTGTCAGCGTAAACTACTTGTACCTGATGATGACAAAACCTTGTCGAAACGTGGTACATTTGCTGTTATGTTAAACTTATATTAAAGTTTTCTTCATTACCCATTCAAGCTGTCTCTAAGCATTATTAGTCTCAAAGTGGGTTCTTCGTCATCGAATTTAAATTCAGATATATTAGAATTGTCCCCCAGTGGCACAGCCGTATCTGCGGACTTATATACCTCTAGAAACCGAGTTTCGACATCTGTGATGCGCAGAGCACAGATAGCCCTTTGTGTAGTTTTGTGCTTAATAATAAACATCACTAAACATATATTAGTAAAAACATTTTCTGCTTTATTGTTTCAGAATAGTTGAAAATAGCTTTTTAATAAAGATCTGAGTTAATCACTTCCGCAACTTCCTAAAGAGCAACAGACTGAAGCAATAAGTTGTAATGTAGTCAACAGATATTCATTCTGTGGTGAGGAATGTGTTGTATTGCACTCAACAGATATTCGACCTGTTATATATTACATATACCAGGATCGAGATTGATGACATTCGGTGTTACAGTGTTTAACAGTGCTACCAGTAGGCTTCTTTAATTTCATTGTTTCTGTTAGATGTAAAATTTGCCTCTATGCCTGTTAACGTAATTTCGTCGATAGAGTGACCAGGCGTGTTAAAATGTTTTGCGACCGGAAGTTCTTTGTTCATTGATGGCCTTAGTGCGTCTCTCAAAACTTTCCGAAAATAATTTGCAATTGAAAATTATTTATTACTAGCTGGAGTACCCGGTCCCTGGACGGACGTTATGTAAATTCAAGATTAATAAAAAGTTATCTTAGGACATGAAAAGTTACTTCCCCTATATTTAACTGTAAAAAAACGTCCATAAGAAACTGCAAAACACAAAATGTGAAATCACAAATTTGCATGTATCTCAGCACGAACTCAAAAAACTTCATGCCAAATTTGGTGAAGGTCCATTAACAGGAGGCGAAGTAGTGGTAAAAAGAAACGCGAAAACGTCCATAAAAACCGCAAAATTTGTATGTATCTGTCCATGGACCCAATGAACCTCCATAGCAAATTTGATAAAGATCCATTTATAGGGGGCGTAGTAGTGGTAAGAAACACACAAAAAACGCCCATAAAGGCCGCAAAATGCAAAAGTGAAAATCTGTATGTACCCCCCTTATGGACCTAATGAACCTCCATACCAATTTTGGTGAAGATCCATTCAAACCTTGCGAAGTAGTTACATGGACATACAGTATAGACAACTATTATATTTATATAGCTTATTCATGTTTTTATTTCTCTATATTAGTGTTATTATTAATTATTATGTATTATTTTGCATTATTATTTTCTCCAATTCCCATCCCCTTATGTTTTATTCTTATTTTATTTTTCTATCCTATGAAAATTGTTCTAACATCTTTTTATTTGTTATCACTCTTACGTTTTTCATCTAATATACCGTATTTTTCGGTGTATAAGATGCACTTTTTTACGTGATCTTGACATCCTATACCTATATATTACATTACACTCTCTAACTACCACCTATTAATTTTATTTTCCTGGAGAAGAAGAGTCAACCGTATGCAAGCGCTCGAGTTTTGGGTATTTTTTATTTATTTATTACATATATAAAACAATGTTAGTCTCGAAAAAATATGTCATTCTCATTTTTAAAAGTTTTTAAAGCTTTTTACCGGTTTAAGAATAGCATCGTGTCTAGCCACGTAACACTGTGTTAACTATCTCTATTTTATAAAGAGTTTACTGTTTGCATATAGATTGTATTCGAGGGTATCCCAAAGAACTCATCCGACCCATCTAGAACTTTCCGTGGTTACCTAGCCTTAGATGACATCAGATTTGAGATTCTCGGGAGCGGATCTAACTGTATAGGTAAGTGTTAAAAGTGTTAGTATACATTCCAAAGTTTATTTATTACAATTATTCGGATTAGTGGAAAACATTTTATTACTAGGTGCTTAACTGTTAAATGTGGTTATTCAGAATTACAAGAAAAGTTTACAGATCCTATATTTAGTTTTGAGTTCAAGTCAAACATATTCATAACACTTGTAGATGCTATACGAGAACTTTATCTCTATGTTGTTTCTGTTTTGGGACAAAGACCGAGTTTGATTACAGCATTATGTTGTGAGCCAAAAGTCATATAAAATTTCTTTAAGATTTTTCCAAAGCTAAATTATTTTTGGATTCGGTATTTATATTTTAAAACATTATTACACTAAAGACTTCCAACTATCTCACTGTTAGTGTTATTTTTGTACTTTATATAACTTATTTTGTAGGTCACTGCACATTCGAAGGAGGATTGTGTGACTGGTCTAATTCCAGGGGTCAGGATGACTTCGAATGGGAGTTAGGACGAGGAACCCAGAGTTTCCTGACTGGTCCAGCACAGGATTATAGTAGTTTTGGCGCCAAGACACAATCAGGTAGTGTAGTCAATATATCCATTTCACTTCATTTTATAACGTTAATAATTAATATAGTAATTCACTTTAAATAAAGCATCGACTTAACTGTGTATCAACATTTGTTTCAGCACTTGGAAGCCCTCCAGTAGTTAACAACAAATAAAAAAAGCACTTGGAATGCAAGCATCGTTATCAGTTATCAGGTTAATTTGTGTGTGTATGTATCCAAAACCATGTTAAAGCAATACATATTATATTTAGAATCTCCGCCCCCTCTCCCAGGGGTTAAAAGGTTAACTTTCATGAGAGGGTTATACGCTTAAAACCGGATGATTTCGATACCCGTGGTAAGCAAAGCGCACATATGTTTGGATTTTTTATTCGTATAACTTGTTTAATTTTTACATCTTGTTTGCTTGTGAAACTGGATACGATAGTAAAGATGTTTATGTCAGCAATTCCATCACATTCTTGATCCAAGTGTCTGAAGCATTAATTACCAGTTGCTTTATTAAACGTTTTTCTCTTGTGTCAAGTTGGGCTTGGCATTCTGCAGGCCGTGAGTTCAAATCCTCATAACGCCAAATATGCGAGGTGATTATAATGTGCGGTTAATCCCACTATTCATTGATAAAAGAGTAGCCCAAGAGTTGGAGGTGGGTAGTGTTGACTAGGTACCTTCCCTTTAAAGTCTACCACTGCTAAATTAGGGATGGCTAGCGCAGATAGCCCTCTTGTAGCTTTACACGAAATTCAAACCAAACCAAAAGACGGGTTGATCCCACATAATCTCGTACACATCGAAAACAAACATATTGACCAAAAAAGCGTTAAGTTTATCTAATTTTTCTTTATCTTAAAAAGTTCTCAATACTGATTTTTAAGCAGTACACACAGAAGTTTGTGGATAATTTGATTTCAAGATGCATTTGACTTGTATTCTTAGCACATAATTGCCGTTACCCAAAAATTCCTCGCTAATTTATCTACAATAAATACGCTGACTTATCCACTGACTAAACTGCTACTGAATCATAGACAAAGAGACTCAATAACTTTCATTGTCTAACACATTAAATGACACAGAACTGAATAACTAATTAATTGAATCAATCTGGTATTTTTATATAACCCAATTTTTTCTATATTTCAGAAAGCTTCTAGACGTTGCATCATTATTATGACCCGACATGGCCAGGTGGTTAGGACGCTCGACTTGCAATCTGAGGGTTGCACGTTCGAATCCCCGTCCCACCAAACATGCTCGCCCTTTCAGCCGTAAGGGCATTATAATGTGACGGTCAATCACATTATTCGTTGGTAAAAGAGTAGCCCAAGAGTTGGTGGTGGGTGGTGATGACTAGCTGCCTTCCCTCTAGTCTTACGCTGCTAAATTAGGGACGGATAGCACAGATATCCCTGGTGTAGCTTTTCGCGAAATTCAAAAACAAACAAACAAGCATCATTATTACGTCATGACAAGTTTCTTTTAGTAAACAAAAATCTAAATTAAAATAATAAAAGCATAGCTTACAACATCATCCTGTTGTACTAATATCTAGTTCTGGAAAAAGACACTTTTCAGTTGTTTTCTGTGAATTTAATAGAAGGATGTTGTTTATTCAAATATTCTAAAAGGTAATGTACTTGTTATTTTTCTTTAAAAATATCGACGATATTATCAGCATATTTAAAACTCTCATGGCAGTTTCTCAACCTTCGTTTCTCATGAATACATAAATGAAAAAAATATTAACCAGACTAGGTGCTAATTGTGAGCCATAACAACACCGCCTATTTGATCATAAGTACATTTATTACACTTAAAATGAGATTTCTTATGGTAAATTGGAGAACTCAATAAAAACTGATTTAGCCTTGTACAATCGTATCATACACACGGGGTCAGTCAATTTGACCGAATCATTAAAGCTGATATAAATTACGCTATGGAATCACATTACCCACGAGCTACTCGTGTGTGTGCCTCGTGAACCATTTTAATTATATTATTATTATTATTAT